GACTCTCCCCTCTAACTGTGAACCAGAACGAATCCTCTTAACTTGTTTCTCATCAGGTGTTTGGTCACAGTGACAAGGAAAGTAAATACTATGCCAACCATACAGGAATACTATTATATGCCAGGCCCTTGGCACACAAACGTGGTTTTTGAGGGAATTAAAACATGAATGAGCAAGATATCGAGGTCGAAGGATGTAAGGTACTGCCATGAGCAGGAAGTAAACAGATAAAAGTTATGAATAATCTTCACTTTTGAGGAGCCTCACTGTGGATTAACAGTATACCTTGTGCCTACTTGTGTGCAAATATGTGTGACTGAAACACATACAACTCACAGTGACTACCTGATGATATACTGTGTCCTTGAGATGCTTATAGCTTCCAAATATTCTTGAAGTCTTGACCTTATAGGCAGAAAATACACTCAGATTGTAATTTTCCCGGTAACAATCACTATGCTCTTTAGATCTTCCCAAAGTACTAGGGTAGACTAGGTTGTCATGGAGGATAAACATTAGTGTGTTTTAAACTGGAATTATTTAATGGGAAAGCGTTTTGAGACTGTTTGTTCTAAGTGGCACTTACATTATAGTTCCTTTATTTATTGAAAGTAAGCCAAAGCATTTATTCTGTTAAGAGTATTTACTGTTTGCCTTCTGTGGTTACTTCTACTAACTGAATAATAACACATTTTAATGCTGCCTAGCCGAGTTGGAGGTTTATTTTTTTTTTCAAAGTTTGTGGAAGTAGTCTGTTCTCACAAAACAAAGGTCATGGTTTCAATTCCCATTTAGGTGTACATTAGTTACAAAAGAGGAGCAAAGCTTGCTAAGCCACAGACTCTTTCTCAGCCTTGAGGAACGTATTTGCAGAGGCTTTTTGTAAAAGCTACGGCCAAGCATGTGAATCTGGAAAGCCCTGTACAAACCCATCCAGGAGGAAAGGAAAGTACAGGTGGCATATTGACAGTTAAGTAGTCTATGAAAAGCAGCGGATATTTTAGACATTCTATCTCTAACATGATGATGCAGTTCCAAGATGGTAAGTTTCAAGGTTAGACCATTTTAAGACTAGTAGAAGTGACCTCATGTATCTAGTCATTCATAAACACTCTGAACTTGCGCATCTTTCGGATGCATGGTAGTGTCGAGTAGAAAAACTTGTAAGTCCTCCAGGAGAGATGGCTTCTCCTAAATGTGACCAAGACAGGAGATGGAGGGAAGGAAGAGAGAAAGGAAGATGAAGTGATAGGAAGGGAGGGAGGGAGGGAGGGAGGGGGACAGAGGAAGGGAGATTCAGAAGTATTCAGAAAGCAGTTTATTTAGGGAAATACTAGTGTGTTGCCCAGTTAGACGATGTCTTTTCTAGTCATGTGCTTTTGATCAACTCTATAGTACCAAGTCTGTATTGCTTCCTATGGAATGAACTTCACATCCAATTATAGAACAGTTGGTTGATGATCTCCAAAATAGCAGGGGAGTTGGCACTATTGAACCAGTAGGCATCTTCCCTAGCAGGTCAGTAGTGTGGCAAAAAGTGGTCTTTAACTGAGGCCATTGGTGAGTTTACATTCCTATCAACTTGAATAGCACCTTCCAAAACTATGACTGCTAGCCAGCACAGAGAGAGGAGAGAGAGAGAGAGAGAGAGAGAGAGAGAGAGAGAGAGAGAGAGAGAGAGAGGGAGAGAGGGAGGGAGGGAGGGAGGGAGGGTGAGACAGAAAGACAGAGGGAGAGAGAGAAAGAGAGGGAGAGACACAGAGAGAGAGAGACAGAGAGAGCGAGAGATCCCACTCAGTTCTGTCTTGATCTCTTTGTCTGATAACCAGAGCAAATCCTATCTTCAGGTTATGGTTTTTTCATCATGCTCTGATGAGGAGGCAAGAGCAATAGCAACAGGCTATATTGTTTTGGAGCTCAGAGTCCTCTCTGGCCAACAAAGCATAGGGAGGTATTCCATATCTGATACAGGTTTTGCTTAGAAGCCCATTGCTTCTCAGAACAGGACTGATCACCTATCAAGGAAAGGTATCTCCATTCCAAACTTTTTTAAACTTATTTTTTAATTGTATGAAGCAAAGTCCTAGGCGCCTTTATATACGTACTTTAGGTTTTAGCACCCATCCAAAGGCCACTGTTTCCCCAACTCCATTTAAGTTTGTTTTTTCATGCTGAAGCAACAAATGCTATTTATTATTTATTTTATATTTATTAATCCCTTGCCTTAGGGCTCCCCTCCCAGAGCTCCTTTCTTGTCTATTAATAAATAATTATATTTCTACCCATAACTAGTTCTACTTTCAGCATGGGTGAGAGATACGGATTTTCTGATACAGACAATCGTATTTGTTCAAAATGCTGAGAATAAGGGACAAATGGGTACCCCATCTTAAACATGACATTTACACACATACACACCTGAAGGCCCAGAAGACATTGCAGAAGAGAGGTCAAAAAGAATTTCACAGACAGAAGATAGGGAGGAGTACTGGGTATTACTGTCATTCAGATCTGACATTGCTCTTGCAAACATGAGCAGTAGCAATGGTCACCTGCATAAGCTTGGGCCCTCCAGATTTCCACCATGGATACAGGGGATACTCGTGAGGCCTAGTCCCTTCCTGGAGAGCTAATGACTGTTAACATCACTTTCTCCAATGGTGTAGCCATTAGGGGAATAAGTGGAAAAAAGAAGGCTATTGGAGGAAAAGTAAGGGGGTAGCTCAGGATAATGGAGTGTTTGAAAATAAAAATAATACATGGTTTTGTCTATAAAACAGTCAGGATTTTAAAAACCAGAATTTATGCTTTGTCTATTTAAAACACACTCATGTGTACATATACATAAGCAGATATAAAATGTATCTGTATTAGAATATCTGAGGGATTGGCAATGACTCAATAAAGTGTCTAAAGGATTCCAAGGAAGGCAATAAAAGGAGCAAGGTTGAAAAGTGCTTGTCTGTTGAGAGACAATAATCAGGGAATTATGAAATGCAGTAACTGCAGCAACAGACGGAGCCCAGAATCTGTGGCTGCGCACGTCAGGAACACAAAGCTTGGAAAAGTCAGGGAAGTCAGGACATATACTAAATACCTGCAGCTCTATTCTGTTTTCCGGACTAACAGTAGAAGTTTTATCTGCTAAGAAGCAACAGCATAGAGGTTGCTGAACACCCGGGGAACAGATTTCCTGAGTCGGGATCCTTCTTCTGCACTTAGTTCTAGCACCACAGACAACTTGACTGAACCTGCTCTGTCTCCACTTCCCGTAACACAAGAACAATGGCATTGCACCAAAAGAATCTGTGATGATTTAATGACACAGTGAATGGCAAATCACTTAAAGGGATCTCTGTATTTTAGAAATCATGGTAATGGCTTTAATTGAAATGTGAATTTCTGCTAAGATATTTTTGTCATCCCAATCAAATGCATTCCATTTCCTTGCTGTAAGCCAGTTTTCCCTTCTTGTCTAGTGGTTAAATTGCCAAGAACGAAAACAGTTTAAAAAAAAATGATGTCATTACCACAAAAGGACTACTGTTTTCAGCTTCCTGAGATGCTATTTTCAACTTCTGAACAACTATTAATGCGTTATTTATGCCATTATAATCTCATAATGCAGTTTTAGATACATGTTTCACATACTCCATTAGGTTACATCCATTTAGGAAAGAACTATTCCACAGAAATAGAGTTTGGGGTGTATGTTTCAATGTAGCAGTTACTTAAGGGAAAAATAAAGTTGATTTATAGAATGTGTTATTTAACCTGGCCAAATTAAATATTACAAATTAACCATTTCATCATTATAAACAAATTATAATTCGTTCCATAGCTCTTCGATGGATCTATCTGACATGGGATCTGTCTCCTTTGCAACTAGCCATATGTTACATGTTTGGTGGACAGTAGCTACCATCCTTGACAACACAGATTCTGACTACACCTTATTTCTGTAGATCTGCATTTATGATAATAAGTAGAAGAGCACATCCCTTTCAGAAGTGTAGTTAATATTTGTTAGTGAAGGGCGTATCAAAGGTTGGCTGTGACGTTTCACACCTGTCATGTTAGCACTTGGGATTTAAGAAAGGGAATTTGGAGTTCAAGAACATTCTCAGCTACATTGTGAGTTTATACATAGTCTGAGATATGTGACATCTAAAAATAATGTACAAAATCTGTATATGGAAAAAAGGTTCTGACATTCAAAACATGGACGGTAAGAACAGAAAAAATAATATTTTATCTTTCTTTAAAAGTAACAAGTGTCTTTTTGCAAGACAGCAGAATGAATTTTCAGCATTATTTCCCATTAAGAATAGGAGTTATGCCATACAGTGGTGGCACATGGCTTTAACTCCAGCACTTAGAAGACAGAGGCAAAGGGATCTCTGTGAGTTTGATATAAGCCTGGTCTACAAGAGATAGTTCCAGGACAGGCTCTAAAGATACACAGGGAAACCCTGTCTTGACACACCTTCCCCCGTAAAAAAGAATAGGAGTTAGTTATACTTATTTCTGGAAAGAAATTGCTTTTACAATAATAAAATGTTTGTATGATTGACTTTCCTGGAAAACAGTTTTATCTGATTTTCTGCCACCAGGCAGTTAAGCATGCTGGAATGATTGATTTGTCTTGGTGAGGTTATTCTGATGTTTGTCCCATGTTCAGAATGATCTGTCCTTCAAGTACACTCTGAAATGCACTCAGTGTTTTCACAAATGATGTCTCAGTTACTGAGATGTAGTTACAGAAAATGAATGGCTTTATTTGCAGTGAAGAAAGAGTCAACATCCATCACTCTAGTTAGAAAAAACTAACACCAGCAAAGGCACAAACCCAATACATGTTCAATCACTCTAGAATTTGCCCTACATACCCCCTCTTATCAAATATTTATTATTATTATTATTATTATTAGGGATTTTTAGCCTTCTGTAGTAACAGGGAATTACAAAGAAGCAACAAAAATTGTTAGGCAGTAACTTACCTTTGGCAATTTCAATGGTAATTTGCAAACTGGAAACTGGTAGAGATTTTCATAAAGGGATTGATCCATGTTGGGGATGATCTTCTCTCTGGGTACTTTATAGACCATGATAGTGCCTTTATAATGGGGACAGCTATAGTTCCCAAATTCATCCACCTCTTTGATGTGGAGTTCTAGCCTGGGTTTCCTTTGCCGGTGAAAAATGAGTTTGTAGTCTTTCCCATAATCCTTCCCATTGCCTAGAAAGGAGATACATTTATCACCAATAAGATAATTGGTTTGCTTCAATTTTTGAAAATCCCAATGACCTTTTATTTATCAAATCTCATTAAAGTGTCTTGCCTGCTGTCACCCCTTGTGAACATATAACCTAACTGCAACGACAAGTTATGGCAGATTATTAGGAATATTTCTCATCTGTAATTGGGCCACGTATTCTGAGGAAGCACCTATATGGAATTCTTTTTTCTTTTCTTTTTCCTCTCCATGATTTTCTAGCAAGAAACTTTTGTAAATATTCACAGTTTCCAGTATTTAGCATATTATCGTCACTATCAAAGAATTATTTTTCCCCTTCCTCTGTGCTGTTCCTGTCACACCACACTGCCATGACTTCACATTGTATATTTTAGTATTCTCCTGGTACATGTGGCTGTTTAAGTGTAAATTAAAATGAAATTAAAGACCATTCAAAAGACAGCTCCTTGGCTTATTAGATGTCTCAGCAGGTAAACGTGCTTGCCACAAAGCCTGAATACCTGGCTTTAATCCCCAGCTCCCACATGATAGAAGGAGAGAAAAACCCCTGCAAGATCCCATGTGATCTACACACACACACACACACACACACACACACACACACACACACATCTCTTATTTGGTTGGTTGGTCTTGGTTTTTCAAGACAAGGTCTCTCCATGTAGCCATTTTTATCCTGGACCGCACTGTATAAATAAGGCTGGCCTTGAACTCAGAGAATCACTTGCCTCTCAAGTGCTTAGATTAAAAGTATGTGGCACCACTGCCCCACTGATTACTTCCTTGGTAAAAAGAACAGAAATAAAATGTTTTCACAAGTATAGAAAAAGATATCACTGTCATGGAATTTCCAAATATAATAGTTACTAGATTTGTTGAAATTATTAAGAAAATACGGTCATGCTTTGGAAACAAAGACACATCTAAGTCTCCTCTTTGAAAATAATGAAGCTTTTGTGAATATGAGATTCCACCTCTGCAGGTTTTAGGGCCTCACGTTGCACCAGTAGAAGAGATATTACTGCTTCCTGGGACAGTGCCTGCCTGCATCACCATTGCAACATCTTTAGGAGGCTTTGGCAGAGCAGCTGAGGTGGCATGTTTGGGATGTAAATATGTAGTGTCAAGCCCAGCCTCTACCATTTGTTTCCATGGTAATATCTAGCCAGAGCTCTCACATTTTGGGAACTTTGAGGCCCTTAACTTCCTCATCTTTAAAACAGGAAAAACAGTGCTTGCCACCTAAGATTACCCTTAAACATGACCTAATGTAATATAAATAAAAATTGCCCCAATTCCTGGTACATATTAAATTCTGAAGAGATGATAGCATGATAGCAAATGGAGAGAAAGAAGGATTCTGCTGTCATACTGTATCTATATTGCTAAACAAAACAGTTACACTTTGAATGAAAAGCCAAACTGCGTTCTGCTTTCTAGGAATCCATAAAGGTGGTCCTCCCCCACCATCTCTCACAGGATGAATGCCTTCTCTTTGGCCTGAGGCAGGGGGGGAAATAGTTCCTTAAAAGATTTAGATAATATCATTGTTTCCCAGCTGTGGTGACTGAAAAGCATTTTGATAAATTTCTAAACATTTAAAAACAGGAATGGGGGTGGGGGCATCCTGAGTCCCCGCCTGCGGGATCCTTGACCTCAGCTGGATTTTAGACATAGAGCAAAGGATCACCAGCCTATAATTCACATCGCCAGAGAAAGTAGGATACAAGGAGAATTCTAAGAGATTCGTATAAGGTCCCTCACAGAAGGGGAAAGGGACAAGGTCCCCAGAGCACATGGGAAGTGGGGGGGGGGCAGTGAATGGAGAGATAAGTAGGAGAAAGAGAAGGGGAGGGGAGAAAAGCACTTGGGACTAGGAAGATTGAGTCAGGGGAGGAATAAGCAAGAGAAGAGAGACAGAGAGCATAAAAGAGGGAGCCATTTTAGGTTTGAAGAGAAAAAGAGAACACTGAACCTAGAGAAATGTCCAGATACCTACAAGACTGCCACCAACTAACAAGATGAGCAACAGTGGAAAGGCTACCATAAATGCCCTTCCTGAATAGGGAGATTGACTACTAACTTATCCACCATCATGGAGCCCTCATCTAGTACCTGTTGGAAACAGAAGCAAACACCCACAACTAAACACTGAGCTGAATTGGAATCCAGATGCAGAGAGGGAGAATAAGACCAGGCAGCAGAAACCCACAGAGACAGCTGACCTGAACAAGGAGGAGCTAATGGGCCCCCAGACTGATAGCTGGGAATCCAGCATGGGACTGACTCAGACCCCCTTGAACATGGGTCTCAGCTAGAAGGCCTGGGCAGTCTAAGGGACTATGGAACCAAGATGTATTCCTGGTGCACAAAAGAACTTTGGGGGCATATCCTCCATGGAGTGATACTCCCTTGACCTAGAGGCAGGAAAGAAGTCTAAAGTCTAGTCCCTACTCCAAATGACTTGACAGATGTAGATGATCCCTCCTGGAGGGCATCACCCTACATGTGGAGTAGGAGGGTAGGGGAGAGGCATGAGAGGGTGGGAGAGAGGGAAAGATGGAGGGTGGGAGGGAGAGAGAACTGGGATTGATAGGTAAAATAAACACAAAACAAAACAAAAACAGGAATAGGACTAAATTCCCCAGAGGGATCTAGAGGCAGAACAAAGCATGTTGACATCAGCTGCAATTCCTGTCTTGCCCCTCCACCCCCCAGCAGAGAGGAGAGAGGAAAGAATAGAGCCTTGAATCTATACCCACCAGAAGAGAAAGAGACCCCACTTGTACCCACTGGAAGAAGAAATGGGAAGAAGACATAATAAGAACACATCCAACAACAAAATTAGTTATATAACATCACCAGACTCTAGAGATTCTAAGCCAGCAAGACCTGAACATCCCAATGCAGATGAAGCAGAAGAGAAGGACCTTAAAAACAACTTCATGAAAATGACAGAGGCCATCAAAGAGGACATGAGAAAAACCCTTCAAGAAATGTAAGAAAAAAAATGCAAGAAATCAACAAATCTCTTACAGAAAGCAAGGAAAGCCAAGGGGGAAAAACAAAAACAAACAAAAAACCACAATCAAACAGATGAAGGAAACAATTCTAACAGCTCAATATCGAAAAACTGAAATAGAAACAATAACGAAAACAAAAACTAAGGAGATGCTGGAAATGGAAAAGCTGGGTAAGCAATCAGGAACTACAGATGCAAGCATAGCCAACAGAATAGAAGAGATCAAAGACAGAATCTCCTGCACTGAAGATAAACTAGAGGAAATAGATCCATAAACCAAAAAAATCATAAATGCAACAACTCCTTAACACGAAATAACCAGGAAATGTGGGACACCATGAAAAGACCAAACTTAAGAATAACAGATATTATAGAATAAGGCAATGAAATCCAGCTCAAATGTGCTGAAAACATATTCAACAAAATCATAGAATAAAACATTCCTACCTGAAGACAGGCTTGCCTATGAAAGTATAAGAAGCTTACAGGACACCAAATAGACTAGACCAATAAAATAAAATAAATAAAGTCTCTTTGCCACATAATAATAAAAACACCAGCAAACATACAGAATAATAAAAAAAAAAGACTTTAAGAGTAACAAGGAATGAAAGAAAAAAGCCAATCAACAAACAAAGGCAGACTTATCAGAACTACACTTGACTTCTCCATGGAAACTCTGAAGACCAGAAGGTACTGGATAGATGTTCTACAAATATTAATAGACCATGGATGTCAGCTCAGACTATTATACTCAGCAAAAGTCTTAATCACTATAGATGGAGAAAACAAAATATTTCATGACAAAACCAGATTTATACAATACATATCCAGAAAATCTGTCCTTCTGCTGAATACAAGAAACACATCTAAGCTTCAAAGACAAACATTACCTCAGGGTAAAGAGTTGGGAAAAGATCTTCCAATCAAATGGACCCAAGAAACAAGCAGGTGTAGCTATCCTAATATCTAGCAAGTTAGACTTCAAACCAAAATCAATCAAAAGAGATGAAGACTGTCATTTCATATTCATCATAGGAGAAATCCATCAGCACAAAGTCTCAATTCTGAACATCTATGTCCCAAATACAAAGAAGGCACCCACATTTGTAAAAGAAATGCTACTAAAACTCAAAGCGCACATAAAACCTCACATACTCTTAGTGAGAGACTTCAACACCTCATTCTCAATACTAGACAGGACCACCAGACAGAAACTTAACAAAGGCACAAAAGAACTAACAGAAGTTATGACCCAATTGGGTTTAACAGACATCTATAGAATAGTCCATCCAACACAAAAGAATATACCTTCTTTTCAGCTCTACATGGAACATTCTCTAAATTCGAACCCATATTCAGAAACGTTGCAAACTTCAACAGATACCAAAAAAAAAAAAAAAAAAAATGGAATAATGGAATAGTCCCTTGTGTCTTATCAGACCACCACACTTTAAAGTTAGAATTAAACAACACAAATTGTTGCAAAAACCCTACAACTCATGGAAAATGAAAATGCACAATTGCACCATTCCTGGGTAAAGGAAGAAATAAATAAACAAATAAAAGATTTCGTAGAATTCAATGAGAATGAAAACACAACATACCCAAACTTATGGGACACTTTGAAAGCAGTACTAAGAGAAAGTTCATAGCACTAAGTTCCCACCCACATGAGGAAACTGGAGAATAGTAACTTTAGAGAATTAACTACACAACTCAAAGCTCTAGAACAAAAAGGATCAATCTCACCTTAGAGGAGTAGACACCAGGAATTAATCAAATTGAGGGCTGAAATCAATTAAGTAGAAACAAAGAAAACAATACAAAGAATCAATGTAACAAAGAGTTGGTTAATATTTAAGACAGAGCTAGCCAATACAAAATGCTAGTAACAGGCCAACAGTTTTATAATTAATACACTGTCTCTGCATATTATGTGGCACTGATGGAGCTCTG